GGAACCAGCCAATCAGGAGACACCAGATGTCTGGACATCTGTGGTGAGGGGACTCCCCAGGTCACCAGGTTCTTTGAAGTGACAGTAACTGGGAAGTTGGATCACTCCAAGAAGAGAGGTGATGGCTATGTGGACACAGACAGCAAGTTTTAGGAGCTGGTGACTTCCATCAAAGTGGCCCTGACACAGTGCCAAAGAGCCCTGAAGGCAGAGTCCGGAGACCCTCCTGGCCAGCCCTCTTGGCAGTCACTTCATGATAGGAAGGACTGAAATGCCATGTGGTCTTTCCTCAATGTTCCTGCAAGTCCAGGTACATGGACTTTGCCTCTGTGTGGGGTGTCTCCCTGGAATCCACCTTTGCACATTCCCTGTCCTGCCCTTCCTTACCTCTCCCTGAATTCCCATGTTTCCCACCTACCCTCCTGCCTTAGTTTCCAGCAGAGCCATGTTGGTTGACAATGGACCCCAGTTCAGTAAATGGAGGAGTTTCACAACCCACATAAAAAAGTCTGTGGTACCTAAAAATTTTCAATTTACTGTTTTGCTCTTTCTTGTTTTTTTTTTTGGTCTTTTTGGGACAGGGTCTCCCTGTAGCCCCCAGCTGTCCTGGATTCACTATGGAGACCAGGCTGGCCTCAAACTCACAGAGATCCAGCTGCCTCTGCCTCCTGAGTGCTGGGATTAAAGGCATGCAATCCAGCTTTCTTGGTCTTTTTGAGACAGGGTCTCTCTGTAGCCCCAGCTTTCCTGGAATTCACTATGTATACCAGACTGGCCTTGAACTTACAGAGATCTGCTTGCTTCTGCCTCTGGAGTGCTGGATTAAAGGCATGCTCAGCTTAATTTTCTTTTATGAGTGTACTGCCTGCATTATGTGAGTCTGTGTCATGCATTGCCCACAGAGGCCAGAAGAGGCTATCAGATCCACTGGAACTTGACGTTTGTTTGATGCATGTGGGTGCTGGTAGTCAAACACAGATCCTCAGTAAGAGCAGACAGTGCTCTTAGCCACTAAGCCCTCTCTCCAGCTCCCTACAGTACTTTTTAAAAGTAGGGTTAAAGACTAGTAATTCAGGATTCAGAAGTACTTAGGTAGAAGATAGATTTTGTTTTTCAGGAAAATCATTCTGGTAGTAGAGTGAAAGTGCTGTCACAGAGGAACACAGCTTCATGGAGTGCCAGGGTGGACAGTAGGTATAGGAAATTATGTCAAAGCCTAAGAAAGAGGGGCTGGAGAGATGGCCCAGAGGATAAAAGCACATACTGTTATTCAAGAAGACCCAAATTTGGCTCCCCCCCCACATATCCAACTACCTGTAACACAACCTCCGGGTATCTGCTGCCCTCTTCTGGTATCAGAGGGCAACTGTATATGCATATTCTACACACATGCATAAAATAAAGGTCAGGCTAAGCATGGTGGGTAGAGGTAGGCAGACCTCTGTGAGATGGAGACCAGCAAGTTCCAGCCTAGCTGGGGCTACAGAGAGACCCTGTCTCAAAAAGTAAAATATGGTCAGGTGTGGTGGCACACACCTTTAATCCCAGCACTTGGGAGGCAGAGGCAGGTGGATCTTTGTGAGTTCGAGGCCAGCCTGGTCTACATAGTGAGTTCCAGGACAGCTGGGGATACAAGGAGACCCTGTCTCAAAAAGACAAAAAAAAAAAAAAAAAAAAAAAAAAAAAAAAAAAGTAAAATAAAAGTCTTGCATGGTGGCACACACCTTTAAACCCAGCCTTTAGGAGGCAAAGGCAAGCAGAGCCCTGACTCAAAAACAAAAAAACAAAAAACCATAAAAATAAGGTCTTTTTTAAAAATCTAAGAAAGAAATGATTTAAGGGGCTGGGAAGGTAGCTCATTTGATAGGGGGCTTTCCTAGCATGCAAAGCCCTACTACTGGAGTACAGCATATCTCGAGTTCCTTGAATGTATTTTATAAGGTCTTTCCAATCTGGTTAATATAAACATGTAGTTTAGGACTGAGTGAACTTTGAGGATTTTTGTTGTTTTGTTATGTTTTGTTTTAATAGCATTACAATTTTTTTCTATACATTTGTTGCACAGTATTCAGTCTTCTAAAAAATTAATGTAGGGGGCTGGAGAGATCATTTAGGGTTTAAGAGCAGGCACTGCTCTTGAAGACCTGAGTTTGGTTCCCGGCACCCATGTAAGACTGCTCACAACTACCTGTAACTCTGTTTCACCAAATTTTTCCCTTCCCGCCTGCTGGGAGACTGGCTCTCAGTCACCGGGTGTTGGGGAACCCTGCTGCTAGGGTTGTAGTCCTCCATGTCCAGATAGCTCTAAGGGGGCTTGGCACCATATGGAAGGACTCACCTTCTCAGCAGGGGGCCTCCTGCTCTCTTTCTGACTTACCTGAAAAGTGCCGCCAAGCACGGATGGCTGACCTTATTTGGAACATGACCTTTGGCATAGTTACCTGGAGTTAAAACTATCCCCAGGTTTTTTCTATATGATAATTAGGCACTGCCTGGTAGTCAGATGATAGGAGCCTACTGCCACATGTAAATAAAGCATACTATGAGCACCTGTCAGCTGAGGCATTGGCTACTGCCTCCACACTATATTTCCCCTGGTTCTCCCACTGAATAAACCAGCTGTTTCACTGAGTCTGTATCACTGAACCTGCCTCTCCGGAAGGACTTTCTTCCATCAGTGCTCACTGGCTGTCCTGACCCCGCTCGTCGCTTCTGCTCCCTTTGTCCTCGTGGAGTGGTGGCCAACAACCCACGAGGAGAGGGAGTGACTCCACAGCTGGTGCCTGAACGTGAGGCTCCTGGAACATGCAGAGTTTGTGAGTACCCCTCCCACCAGGAGGGTAGTGGCAGCTTTGCCTTTAAGCCATCCCACCCTTGAGGATCGGCAGTCTCTCCTCTTTTTCCTCCTTTTATTTTTGGTCTGAGTCTTCGCGTGGGACCGTTAAAGACGAAGGAGCAATTGAGGCTTTCTGATCAGGGTTACTCCCTGATGTTAGCCAAAGGCTCTTAGCCATCTTAACGGACCCCGACTGCTGACACAGGTGTAGACAAGACCCCCTATCTATACATCTTTCTAATGCAAAAACCCGGTAATGCAATGACCAGTTAATTGCTCTTAGAGCAGTCACCAGATCTCTTAAATTTGCAGGCAGGCTTGTGCTGTGGCCTACGTGGGATCACCTGGGGTTTTGATCCCAGGCATGTTCCCCTAGAAATCAGTGTTTCACCCCACTTTCCTTTTCTATCTTGAACAATACCCCTAGAAAAAAAATCCCCAAAGTTCTAAGGGATCTTTATATAAGCCTTAAAGCCAACTTCTAAAATAAACTTCCCTAATCTCTTTTGTTATCTTGCCCCCGGGGTGCTCAAGCCCAAGTTAAACCAGTTAGGTGAGAATTTAAATTAACTAGCCCCTGCGGAGCACTTAAAAAATTCAAGGTGGCTTGTGCCATACAAACGGAAAAAAAAAATTTTTAAAAGCCATTTTTTTTTCTGTAAAACTTTTCCTGGGGAAGGGGCTCATCAGAGGACCACCCCATCTCTCTCTCTCTCTTTGCTTTATCTCGGTTATTGCCCTTATGAGGGTCTGGATACGGCTTGTGGGCAACTGAAGCCTCTTGGTCAGGGCAACTCCCTGATATTGGCTGAAGGCCCCCTGCCCTCTTTCTCGACTCTGAAAGCCCAACTGGGTGTAGGCAGTAACCTTTACAACTATCATAAAAATCTGGTAATGCAGCAACTAGTTAAAAGTCACAAGGACGGTTGTGAGTCCCTTAAATCTGTGGCTAGGCTTGTGTTTTTCAAAGTGTCTCAGTCCCCCGTGGCAGGCTGCCTTGGGAACACTGAATGCCACTGACAACACTTCCTTTCTTTTCTATAATGGGTAATTCAGCATCACACCAAAAAACCCTCCAAATTTGCTCCCTTAGAGCCCTACTTAAATCAAGAGGACCTAAGATTTCCCAAAAGGAAAGCTCAAAATTTTGGAATGAAGTAATTCAATTTGTACCCTGGATCCTGTCAGCAGATATTTCTGACCCAGAGGTCTGGACCAACGTTGCCTATCTGGCTTGTAAAAAGGAAATCCAGGAAAGGCACCATTTGCCCCTTTCCTTCCTCCCCATAATAGCAGCCATTCGACGATGCTTAGGAAACCCACCTAAGACTGAGAGCTTACTAGCACCAGGGGATAATAAAGGGGAGGGTTCAAAACACCTAATATCAAGGAAAGCTTACAAACACCAGAAAATAATAAAGGAGAGGGTTCAAACGATGAAAAAGACCCTAAAGATTTCCCAACAGCAGATTCGACAGCCCTAAAAATAAAAATGAAGATTGCCCGGTAACAGATTCAACAGCCCCCAAAATAAAATTTGACCAAATCAGACAAAACCCACCCATCAACAAAAATAACCTTTACCCCCCTCTTCCCCCCTATGAATCCTCATGGACCGATTTAACAAACCCGGATGTTAAAACCCAGACTTCAAAAACTCCCGAAGATTCCCAGATAAATCCCCCTTCATGGCTGCTGGCGCCACACCCCACAGCTATTGAACAGCTCTGTAATCTCAGGGATAATGGGAGTTGTTGCCCCCAGAATCTCCAGACACAATGGCCTCAGGACCCAAAAACCCTATTGGTAGAAAATTTCCCATTAACCTACAAATCACAAGGCAATGTCCACTGGCTTGGTACCCCCTCCCGGCAGCAGACTTAAAAGAACTATGCCAAGTTGTCCATGAGGATGGGATCCATGCTCCATGGACAAAATCTATACTACAAACCTTTAATACTAACCACCTAACCCCCCAGGACTGGAGAGATATCTGTAGATCCACCCTCCCCAGTCCATTGGACTGTAGTCCACCCTCCCCAGTACAATGGGAGGCTTTGTTTAGAGATGAATGCCTAATGCAGGTTAAAAGAAATGACATACATAATCAACAACTGAGACCACAACAAGGGCAAGATCCACCACCTGGATTCATAGATTGGAATTATGACCAGCTTTTCGGCCAGAGCAATTTTTCCATAGGAATCCAGCAGGCTGTGATTCCTGCTGGCTGTTTTGAGCAGGTCCACTTATGTGCATTATGGTCTCCCATCTTCTTGATGAGCTTCACCTACTCATCCAGGAAGTGGTTCTCCAGGAAGTCACAGAGATGGGAGTCTGTGCGGGAAGAACCTAGGGCATGAAGATCCAGGAGGGCCTGGTTCTGGTTCTTCTCCAGGGCCAAGGCGGCTTCCATGGCCTCCTGGGTTTTACCCCACTCATCCTGAGCTGGTTTCTGAACATCATGGAAGAGCGCACGGCCGCCACACTGGTTCTGCAACTTGAGCAGCCACTCCGTGCCCTAGCGCTTCTCCTCAGCCAACTCGTGGAAGAAGTGGCCCATGCCCTCCAGAGTCACGTCATCCCGGTCGAAATAGTAGCCCAGGGAGAGGTAGGTGTAGGAGGCCCCCAGGTGCAGGTTGACCAGGCAGTTGACAGCAGCCTCCACCTCGGTGGAATAATTCTGACGGATCAGATAAAAAAATAACAGATCCTACAGCCAAAGCAATGCTTTTAAACAACCTTCTCTGGGAAGAGATGACCCCTGAGCACAGACAAGCATGCCAGGAACTAAAAAATGAACATTACGACAAATGGATTGTGGCCACCCATGACATCGGGACTGCCACGTACTAGGCCTCCTCCCTTGCCCAAGCCTTTGTAGTTGCAACCCAACCCATAAAAATCATAATATACCCAAATGCTAGCAGATACAAAAGTAACGAATATGTTTACTTCCCTTTTCGACAAACAGATCCATCAAGCCTCAAGGAAGTTGATACCTATGGGGGCTGCAGCTATTTCAATCCCTGTAGGTTGGAACTAGGATTCACTGGGTGATATCAGGGCATAACGGGACACAAAAGACCCATAGCCCCGCTAACAAGAGGTAAGCCACAAACATTATGGGTAACCAGTATTACAGAAAATACCCATCCAAAATTAACCATAAAAATAGACAATAAACCTTTCAAATGCCTCCTTGACACTGGGGCTGATAAAACCATCTTAAGGCGCTCTGAGGTTCCCCCACATTGGAAATTAATACCAGGACCCCAACTGAGCATTTATCACTAAAAACTTCTATAAATGGGAGGATCCTGATGGAGAGGTTGGCACAATAAGACCCCTGATTGCAGATATAGCCACAAATCTCATAGGATGAGATATTCTGGAAGACCTCAATGTAGTTCTTGCCGGTGGGTCTGAAGGAGAATGCCTTAAAATAGATGATCATATGAGGTTCCTAAAACAAAAGAACCCCCAATCCTAAAGGCCACTGTTGATTACAGACTCCCTGCCTCGAGTGGATTACCAAGGAACCAGTCTGAGTGGAACAGTGGCCATTACCCAGGGAGAAATTACTCATTTTACAACAACTTGTAGAAGAACATTTACAGCTGGGTCACATTAGGCCCTCCAGAAGCCCATGGAACACCCCAGTCTTTGTAATAAAGAAAAAGATAGGGGCATGGCGACTGCTACAAGACCCCAGAGCTATAAACAAAACCATGAAAATATGGGGATCACCCCAAAGAGGCCTGCCCATGATCTCTGCCATCCCCCTTAATACTCTCCTGTTAGTCCTAGATATAAAAGACTGCTTCTTCTCCATCCGATTACACAATAATGATTGCCAACATTTTGCCTTCTCAATCCCAAAGATTAACAATTCTGGTCCAGCTGATCGATATGAATGGCAAGTTCTGCCACAAAAATATTAATTGGCTAAGGCCATGGCTTTCCATCCCCACAAGTCAATTACAGCCACTTTTTGATCTTTTAAAGGGAGACAAAAACCCAGCCTCCAGATGGTATCTAAACCCAGATGCAAAAAGGGCCCTCCAAATAATTAATAGCCACTTCCAAAAGGCATCACTAGCCAGATATAACCCCAAGCTACCTGTCCAACTCTTAATATTTAATTCCTCCCCCACCATGGTAGGAGCGATTCATCAGCCACACGGAGTACTAGAATGGCTTCACACGCCAATAGGGGGTGTTCCTCGCTTTCTTACAGAAGTAGACACTCTTGCATCTATGATTCGTCAAGGGAGAGAACCCTACAAATTATAGGAAAAGAACCTGATACCCTCATTATCCCCTTCCCATTATCAGATGTACAATGGCTCCTAAAACATCACTCCTCTTTTTCAATTAGCTTAATAGGTTTCCCAGGACAAATTGATAATCACTATCCCAAAGATAAATGGATGTGTTCTTCCAGTATTTAGCTGGCTCCCACCTTGGCTCTTCTGCCACAAACCCATAAAAAATGCTACTACAGCCTTTACAGATGGGGTAAAAAGGAGGGCAGCTTTGGTCATATATGACTCGCCTAATGACCCACCTATGATATATTTTCAACCTCTATCTGATAAATCTCCATAATTTAAAGAGCTTTTTTCCATCTATATTGATAAGATTGATAAACCCTTCAACCTTTATTCTGACAGCATTTATGCTGTTAATTTGCTCCCATGGCTAGTCTTTTGCAATTAGCTTAATAGGCTTCCCAGGACAAATTGATAATCACTATCCCAAAGATAAATGGATGTCAGTTATTCCAGTGTTTTGCTGGCTCCCACCTCGGCTCTTCCGCCACAAACCCATAAAAAATACTATTACAGCCTTTACAGATGGAGGAAAAAAAGGGGCAGCACTGGTCATATATGACTCCCCTAATGACCTACCTATGATATATTTTCAATCTTTATCTGATAAATCCCCACAAATTAAAGAGCTCTTTGCCATCTATATGGCTCTTGATAAGATTGATAAATCCTTCAAGATTTATTCTGACAGCATTTACGCTGTTAATTTGCTCCCATGGCTAGGTCGTTCCTTTGTCAAAATAGATGGCAACCCCATCTTACCCCTGCTAATTAAAATTTCTACACTGTTACAAAAACGGGCAGCTCCATTATTTGTCCAGCATATCAGGTCCCATTCCTCCCTCCCAGGTCCTCTTACTGAAGGAAATGCTATAGCAGATAAGGTAGCCACCACTGGAACATTCTCTGCCAGTGTAACAGATGCCCAGAACCTCCACCATGCCACCCACATTAATTTACAAGGGCTCCATCTCAGATTCCCCCACATTGCCCTCAGACAACTTAAATGCATTGTTAAAACCTGCTCTTCCTGTGCATCAATGATACATACCCCTGCTATACAACAAATGGGCAACAATCCTCAGGGGCTAAAATCTAATGCCCTCTGGCAACTTGATGTAACCCATGTCCCCCAATTCAGCAGACAAAAATATGTATTTGTAACTGTAGACACTTACTCCCACTTCCTCTGGGCTACAGCCCAAACTGGTGAAATTTCAAAAAAATCTAATAAATCACATGCTCTCATGCTTTGCCATCATGGGCCTCCCTGCACAACTAAAGACAGATAATGGCCCAGCATTTACCAGCTTCCCGTTTAAAAAATTTGTGAAGCCTGAAAAATCACCCATCACACTGGCATCCCATACAACCCACAAGGACAAGCCATTGTGGAAAGGTCACATAAAACCTTAAAAGACCAACTAAAAAGACAGGCTCAAACAACATATTCTCCCAATATTCAATTAACATTAGCCTTGTTTACCCTTAATGTACTTAATGTATATCGAGGGACTGATGCTCCTCCCATCACCCGACACTGGGCTCAGACACACCCAGTACCACCCATCATGGTTAAATAAAGGGACCCCTTTGATGGACTCTGGAAAGGACCAGATCCATTGTTGCCCACAGGGAGAGGATTTGCTTGTGTTTTCCCACAGGATCAACCAAAGCCTATCTGGGTTCCAGCCAGAAATGTCCGGCACCTCCCCGCCCACAAAAAAGATGGCTTGAATGACCCTGTCGGAGACAAAGAAAAGGAAGAGGAGGAAATGACACCCAAAACCACACCAGATCACATGGAAAGAGATCCATGATCTGGTGGAGACTGCTTGCCACAGATGCCCCTCCCCCCTGAGCTTCTTTCTCTGTCATCCTCATGGCCATTTTTACCCTGCTTAACATCAATGCTTCAGCCAGCCCCACTCCCCCTAATACTATGTTCTGGAGATTTTATGTCAGGGAAATATTTCAAGGAAAAAATCAGATAATCGGAACTGCAGACTGCCCCCTAGTGGGCTGTCAAAAACCCATAGAAATCATAATATACCCAAATGCTAGCAAATACAAAACTGACGAATATGTTTGCTTCCCTATCCGACAGGCAGACCCATCATGCCTCAAGGAAGTAGATACCTATGGGGGCTGCCACTATTTCAATCCCTGTAGGCTGGAACTAGGATTCACTGGGGGATATCAGGGCATAACAGGACAGGAAAGACCCATCTACCTAAAGGATAATAAGTATCTCTATGGGAACCATGACTATTCCCTAATATATGTTGCAGATCCATGGGACGATCACTGGTGTATCAGAGTAACGGGAAAGTTCTACTCAGGTGCATTCTCTAGCTACCCTACAGCTGACTTTCATATCTCTCGACAGCTTGTACCTGCAGCTAAGTCTGTGCTAACTCATCATAATATTATTCTACAGGAAAAACAAACAGAGGACCACATAAGATAAACTATGTACTGGAGCAAATACATTCAATATGTTGCTAACTTTCTTCCCTTCACCACCCACCCCAATGCCTCTAACTGCTCTTTTTTTTGTGCATCCAGCAATAGACCTTTACTGACAGCAGTACCAGTTAATATCACCTTCTGACAGCAGTACCAGTTAATACCACCCCTTTTTGCCCAGAAACAAAAAAGATTTCACTGACTCTCATCTGATGGATATTCCCTTATTCAAACAGCTGGCTAACTATGCAATTTGCATTTCCAACAAGAGTAAGCCTACTCATTACAAATGCCTCACTAACATTACTCTCTCCAGGATAGCATGCATCTCCCCTTCTCTTTTTCTATGGTTCAAAGGAAAAGCCCAACACTGTGTTAACTCCTCTTTGTCCACCTTTTGTGTACCCGTAATGATTACACACCAGGTGTACCTACTCGAGGAAGAAGAAGCTGCCATCCTCCTTCACATTGCCAGCAGAGAAAATTCTTCATCCCTTTGCTAGTGGGACTCAGACTTGCCCTCTCCCTGGGTACCAGAGGTGCTGCGACTGCTGCTATTGTACAAACCCATCACCTGGCAGGAGACTTTCGAGACAAGCTGGACCAGGCAATGGCATCCACGACTGACAGCCTTGAGTCTCTCCAATGACAAATGAACTCTCTTGCCAGGGTTGTGCTCCAAAACAGAAGAGCACTGGACTTAATAACTGCTGAACATGGGGGGATGTGTGTAGTATTGGGAGAGGAATGCTGTTTTTTTGTGAATGAATCAAATGTTGTTGAAACCAATGTTAATACTCTCAAAAACCTTCGTAATGATCTATTTTCAAGATTTCAACCCACCGAACAATTAGGTTGGTTTAGTAACCTCTTTTTTCATGGCTCCTACCCTTTGTTAGCCCCCTGATCATGCTGTGTGTCATTTTGATGCTTGCTCCCTGTTTCATACAATTTCTTTGCCGACAGATTACTACCATTGCTAAAATTACTACCAAACAGGTCATGGTCAATTATCAAACTTTGGATTCTCCCGAGATAGATGAGTTGGCTCTTAAGGCTTGTGATGACATTTCTCCATTGTAAAATAAAACAGGGGGAGATGCTGGGGAACCCTGCTGCTAGGGTTGTAGTCCTCCATGTCTGGATAGCTCTAAGGGGCTTGGCGCCATATGGAAGGAATCCCCTTCTCAGCAGGGGGCCTCCTGCTTTCTTCCTGACTTACCTGGAAAGTGCCACCAAGCACGGATGCCTGACCTTATTTGGAACATGACCTTTGGCATAGTTACCTGGAGTAAAAACTATCCCCAGGTTTTTTTCTACATGATAATTAGGCACTGCCTGGTAGTCGGATGATAGGAGCCTACTGCCACATGTAAATAAAGCATACTATGAGCACCTATCAGCTGAGGCATTGGCTACTGCCTCCACACTATATTTTCCCTAGTTCTCCCACTGAATAAATGGAGCTGTTTCACTGAGTCTGCATCACTGAATCTGCCTCCCCGGAAGGGCTTTCTTCCATCAGTGCTCACTGGCTGTCCTGACCCTGCTCATTGCTTCTGCTCCCTTTGTCCTCATGGAGCTGTGGCCAATGACCCATGAGGAGAGGGAGCGACCCCACAACCAGGGTCTTGTGGTCCTGACGTCGGTTGATAAAACAGGCATAACACATTTCTGTCTTGGGTTTTGCATAGTCTATATGACATTTGCGGGGGGTGGTGATGTACACCAAATGGCTTCCATTAACATATGCACACTTCAAGCCCAGTCTGCAGTGTCCATCACCTTTTGTGTGCCTTGCATGCTAACTCACCACATGCCAACTTGCCCCACAGAGTTCACCTGGAGCTGCGCAGGCTGGCTCTCCTCCGCGTTTTGCACAGACCTAGTGCACACTTCGCTCCCTGAGTTCCAATATGGCCCCAGCTGTCTGCTCACTCTCCATCCCTCTTCCCAGGGTGATCTTCCTCTCACCCCTGTCTGGCTTAGTCACCTTAGGCTTACTCTTTTTGGAGGAATAAATAATTTTTGGGGTACACTCCAGGTCTAGGGGATCTGATGCTCTCTTCAGGTCTCCAAGAACACCCACATGCATGTGCACATATACTCATACACGTACACACATACACATAAATAAAATTTTTTTTATTTTAAAAGTTTTATTTCATTTTTATTTTATGTGTATGAGTGTATTACTGCATGTATGTGAGTGCACCTGTGTTGTGTAGTGCCACAGAGGTCAGAAGAGGGCTTTGGATTCCCCTGGAACTGGAGTTAAGGACAGTTCATAGCCACCATGTGGGTGCTGGGACTCGAACCCGGGTCCTCTACAAGAGCAGTCAGTGCTCTTAACTGCTGAGCCATCTCCCCAGGCCTGTAAATAAAAATCTTAAATAAAAATTTAGGGGCTGTCATGATGGTACAATGGATAAAGGCACACAAAACTCTGGGTTTCATCATCAGTACTGCATAAATTCAAGTGTGGTGGTACATGCCTGTAATAACAGTAACGTAGTGCAAACAGTTAAAACATCAAGGTTGAGAGCACTGAGGAGGGAAAATAAGAGGCCTTGCAGCTGAGTATGAAACAGCAAGCCGACCAGGCAAGAGGAAGGACAAGAAATCTTGGAAGGAAGGGTCAGTGTTGGCAGTCTCCGGCTCTCCCAAGAAGCCTCCTAAGGAACTTATACAAAACACTATTGCTCATTCATATATTCTTGCTTCTAATGTAATTAGCCATTATAGACTAAACTCTAAGTAAAGATGGCTTCTAACAAGAAGCTTCCACTTATTCCAGAAAGGAGACTTCCCCAGACCACCTCACAGACAAGGAGCTGAACAAGAGATAATCAAGAGAGACTGCAGCTATAAGTTGGTTGTCCTAGTTATGATTTCTGTTGCTGTTATGAAACACCCAACAAAAAGCAATCTAAGAATAGTTTATTTGGCTCACAATCCAAGTTATACTCCATTACTTTGGGGAAGTCAAAGCAGGGACTTGGACCAGCTGGTCAAATCTTCAGTCAAGAGCAGGAGAATAAATGAACAGGACTTCTTCCTGACATCCACCATGCCTGTAGTCACAACCTCATTGAAGCCCAGACTGCTAGTGCTACTGTGCTGGATGTCAGGGGCCTGGACAGCCTGTGAAGGTCACCTGTGTTGGTGATCATGTTGTTTTAAGTCATCATATTCAATGACTATAATTCCAGCAGTGGAGACACAGAGGCAGGAGAATTTCTGTGGATTTGAGGACTTCATGGGCTACATGAGACCAAAAAAGTATCACTTAAGACCATAACACCCCACATATACCTGATCTTGTCAAAAAGAATCACATCTGCCTGGTTGCAGCAAGAGGCCTCCAAAGATGGCATGGACTCAGAGCCCTGGGGTTCAACGAGAATTCACTTCACTTCTTTGTCTGCAGATAGCCCGCCAAAAGAAGCCCACACTAGGGTACCCTGCTCTCAAGCCCAGTGACTGCTGACAGACTGCATGGTGGGGACCAGTCAGAAAACGATACGCTGACTAAAGGGACTTGGGGGCGGAGAAAAAGGAAATATAAGGCCTGCCCCCTCCTGCATTAAACGAGCCTGCAGCACCTTGCCTAGTGCTTGCTTCTACCGAACTCCCGGGGTCTGTGTGTTGTGACTCCACGCCTCTTGACCCCCTAATCAGCAGGGGACCCGATATAGGTCAGGGTCTTCACAGCTGGCCTGAAGAGAACCCACAACACCTGGCGCCTGAACAGGGAATCCTGCCCATGGTGTTGGTGACACCCAGAACCTCGGTTCGTTCAGTAAGTAGGCCACTGGATTTGTCTGTTTCTTTGGCTGCTTGAGGGTAAGCGAGTAGCTCCCTCCTCTGTCCCCTCCACCATGTCTGTCATCTTTATTGTTGGACTAGTTTGTTAGATCAGGGAGGCACACTCTGCGATGTGATCCCAACACCCACGTTGGCACCTCCCCCCCTCAGCTCATCCTGATGAGTTCACATAAGGGCTGATCCACTCCGAACTCAGAGCCCAGGCTTCGGGTTACCCTGTTGCCTGTCCCGGAGACACCGTGTGAGCATACGGCTGGAGCTGTCACAGCCTCCAGAAGTTCCTCACTGAGCACAAGACATTTGGATCTGATAAACCTTTACATGTTGGGGAAGTTTACATCTGAGTGGCTCACAGTGCTTCTTTGCTTCCTTTGTGCCTTCTTGGTAGTCACCCTTGTCTTCTACTTTTGTGGTGAATTCCCCTTCACAAGACCCTCACACAATGGGCAATTTACCACCACAATGCAGGGAACCACAAACAGCAGCACTCAAGGTGCTCCTGAAAACCAAAGGGTTGAAAGTAAAACCAAAAGATATCGAACACTTTTGGGATGAAGCCACTAATTTAGCTCCATGGGTCTCCCCACGGGGACTCTGACATGTGGATGTGGGTCCTCTTCCTGGCTCAAAAAATGGAGGTCGGGTCAGGGATCACTCCCTCTGCATTGTTCATACCGATCCTCCTAGCCATCATTGCAAGGATTTAAGAATCCTCCTCTCCTGCGGAAGTCATCTCGGCCCACAACAAACACTGCCAGGAGCAATTTAGTGTAGATCTGGCTATTACCTTGACCCCGGACCTCCCAGACCCAGAGGTGGATGCCGCCTCTGCACCCACTTCCAATAAGGAAGGAGCTCCTATGCCTATATCTCAGGATACTCTCCTAGAGCTACCATGCCCAGAAATTCCCCCGCCCTGATACCCATGGAAGAAGTTACTCTCCCCCCCGAGTAACCATCCTGCCCCTTACCCTAATGTGCCCCTCCCTCCTAGACCACCCTCCTTAAACCCTCACTTACCTTTGTCCGCATTTCCGGTTAATGTTGGCCCCGATGAGGTGCAGCGTCCATGGCTGCCCACCCCACTTGCTGACCTCGTTCTTACCTGCAAGGCAGCTGAGCAATCGGGCCCTGACTCCCCATATTTTGCCAGTGGTCCTTACATTTACAAACCCACTATGATTGGTATAACTTACTAAAGGCAGTCTTAGAACCCTCAGTCTTTATAAACTGGCGCATGTGAACCTCTTGCTCTCTTAGGCCCCCTCAATCGATATGGAGTTAACCCACATGGTCTCCTACCCAATGCCCTCTGGCAAATGGATGTCACCCATTATAACTCCTTTGGTAATCTTAAGTATGTCCATGTCATTGTTGACACCTACTCCTTTCTTTTCGCCATTGCTCAAACTGATCACTCAAACTGGTGAAAAGGCCTCACACACCATTAAGGCAGTCAAATCAGCAATGCTGGTAATGGGAGTGCCATGGACCCTAAAAACTGATAATGGGCCAGCTTACACCTCTCTATAATTCCAATCATTCCTGTCAACATGGAAAATTAGCCACCCCCTCAGCATCCCTTATAATCCACAGGGACAGGCCATTGTGGAGCAGGCAAATAGGAACCTCAAAGAAACATTACAAAAATTTGCTACCCCTGAGTCTAAAAGGGACCTGCACCTGGCTCTAATTGAAGCTCTACTCAGCATTAATTTCCTGTCCTTCGATGAAAATGGATTGAGCCCGGCCTACAAACACTGGGCTACCATACCTAGGCCTACACCCCTGCAACTAGTGAGATGAAAGGACCCCATAATATGTCAATGGCAACCGCCCACCCCCTTGTTAACAAGAGGGGGAGGCTATGCTTGTGTGTTTCCTCAGACAGAAACAAAACCAGTACGGGTTCCAGTGAGAGATGTGAGACCAGCAACCGACCAACGGGACCCCCAGGACCCAGAGACCTCACTGCTATCTGGATAATTGGTTTGGTCTTCCCTGCCCCTGCCATGGCCCATGATCTCTGGGCCTTGGTCCCTTCCCTGCCTATACTCTTGCCCTTATCACTTCATTCCCCAGCCTACCCCACCCTCTATTCAACTAATTCTATACTTGGCCTCCCCATCATGGACCCAGTTACTTCCTGGGAATCACTCAATGGCTCCTGGCCCCTTAATAACTCTCTATAATTCACTACCAACAACGCATCCTCATGCATTGGGCTCTTCAACCTGACCATCCAAGATTATGCTGGCAGTGCCTCCTCGGGTTACATGCTTAAACTACAGGGCCTTTCCCCTACCTTCAACAACACTGATGTAACCTCGGTCCTTGCTGCACTGGGGACAAAAATAACAGGGGATGTGGAGGGGACCACCACCCCTCCACCCCCATTTTGACCTGCCATTCTATGCCCACCACTCCCCAACTGTCCACGCACACGTTTCCTTGCACCCTTTATCCTCGTGCTCCCTATACAGTGGCAGAGATGCCACCCTAAGCCCAACTATGCCATCCCTCCCTTTTGCTGCTTCAGCCACTTCCTCTCTAATCACCCCCTAGGATCTTGGAGACAACTGGCCCCCACCTATCCCTGCAGCATTACGATCTCCCATACCAACCGCAAATCAATACTTGGTAACTAGGACCTCTCTGGTCCGTACGCCTGCATGGACATGAGGCTGTTACTGGCACAGCAGGGCCTTCAACTTTCCAACGGCACTTACACTAACACCAATCCCTCTACTTGTGCCAAAAACAAAATCCTTACATCCATTGATCACACAACATCCTGGCCTCCTACCCCCATTTGCGTGCGGCCCGTTTGCCTTATTGCTAGCCAATGTTACCTCTCACCCTCGGGGACAGCTCAACTGCTCCGATACCAACACCGCCTGTGTACTGGGCGGCCTGCTGGAACCATCCAGCTCACATAGTTCTCTTTATGCATGAACCCGTGGCCCTTTGGGTTCCAGTCACCAATGCAACCCACTTCCATGCTGTCACCCTTATAGAGTGGACAGCTTTGTCAGAAGCCCCCTGCTTAAAACGGGATTTCGGGGTCACTGCCACTCTCATCTCAGCCATCATCTTTGCATTAGGGTCGTCAGCCACCGCTGCAGTGGCTATCACCCAATCCTCCACTACTGTGGAGACACTCAACGAGGCCATGTCCAAAACCTCCTCTGCCTTTCACACTCAGTCCCTTATCAATCAGCATCTTCACCAGGCAATTAATGTGTTACAACAACAGATTAATCTCTTAAGTGAAGAGCTGGCAATTACCAAAGGCATGGCTCTGCTAGCTTGTGACCCTCGCTTTAGGTCACTTTGTCTCACCCCCATAAAGTACAGAATATTGCTGAGGCGCACCTATAATTCACACACTATATTCACAGCCACTGGAATCAAAAGTTTCTTAGTTACTCTATATTACTAACTAATCAAATTATTGCTCTAAATTATACCCCGCACCCTCACGCTGGACATTGATTCAGGGTTCTTAGAGAAAATCTGGTCTAATCTAAAAGCACTGTTTGAGCCATCTTGGACTGTCACTTACCTACTCTTGACAGGCATAATTATTCTTCTCTTTCTACTTCTTAAATGCCTGTTCTTCATTCCTGCAGTCAGAAAAAATTCAATCACTCGGTGTATCAGGCCCTCAGAGTAATACACGAAGATGATTTCAACCTGCCCTATGCAACCTGACAGACTTGGCTTGCACAAATGTACGAGGCCTCCTACAGATAATTCCCTACCTCGACTGATCCCCTGGGACGATACCCCTTGGAGGGCTGGTAGTCAATGACAGGTAAGATTCTGTTGGACTGAATCAACCTAAGCCAGGACATGAACGTGTATATCCAAGCTCCAATGATGGGTAAGGTTCATGTCCAAATAGGACAACCTAAGACAGGCACAGTCCATGATCCTGGGGTCATCCCAAGTTGGAGCTGCCTACAGGCTCTCACTGGACAGTCATTTTTAAAGAAAAAGGGTGGAAATGTAGCAGGAGGCCTCCAAACATGGCACAGACTTGGAGCCCTGGGGTTCAGTGAGAATTCACTTCATCACTTCTTGGTCCGCAAATAGCCCGCCAAAAGTAGCCCACGCCTCCATACCCTGCTCACAAGCCCAGTGACTGCTGACAGACTGCGTGGCATGGACCAATCAGAAAACGATATGCTGACTAAAGGGACTTGGGGGCGGAGAAAAGGGAACTATAAGGCCTGCCCCCTCCTGCATTAAATGAGCCTGCAGCACCTCACCTAGTGCTTGCTTCTACCTGACTCCAGGGGTCTGTGTGTGTCTTGACTCCGAGCCTCTTGCCCCCCCCCAATCGGCAGGGGACCCGATCCAGTTCAGAGCTCGCAACACCTGGTATGTTAGTTGGAGCAGGTGCTTTAAAAAAACTTTGATAGTTTTCATAGCCATGTGACTATGAAATACTACAGAATAGTTGCTTTCACAACTAAAAGGGAGGGAAAGGAGGAGGGAATCCAGAGATGGAGGGAAGGGATATAGTTTGGTTGGTAGAGTGCTTGTTTAGCATTCACAAATCCCTGGGATCCAGCCCCAACACTGCACCTACCACTAGGGAAATGGAAGAAGTCGCATCAGAAATTTAAATTAATCCTCTGCTACACAAGTTGGAGGCTAGCCTGGGCTGCATGAGACTTTGTCTCAGAAAACAAACATGTAAGCTTGGTAAGGTGGTACATACCTTTAATCCCAGCACTTGGGAGGCAGAAGCAGGGGGAATCTCTATGAGATCAAGGCCAGTTAGGCCTACATGGTGAGCTCCAGGCCACCTGGGGCTACAGGGAAACCTGTCTCAAACAAACAAAAAAGATATATATAGATACAGCAATAACAATGTTTCTAGCAACTTGTGGCCACATCCCTAAGAAGCCATCTCTCTGGCCCAGTCTTGTATTTTTGGACCTGTTTTTTTTTTTCTTAGGAAGTATTTTAAAAAAATATTTTCTTATTTTTCTTTTGGGTGTGTGTATTGCCTGCATGTAGGTAAGTGCACCCGTGTCATGCAATGCCTATGGAGGTCAGAAGAGGCTGTCGGATCCCCTGGAACTGGAGTTACAGACAGTTATTAGCTGCCATGTGGGTGCTGGGATTCTAGTGTTCTTAACCACTGAGCCATCTCTCCAGCCCTGTATCTGTATGTGTGTGTATGTGTGTGTGTGTGTGTGTGCGCGCGCGCACGCTGGGTATGTATGTGCACCATGTGCATACAGGTACCTTCAGAGGCAAGAAGGTGGCACTGGATGCCTGGGAATCTAATTACAGATGGTGGTGAGACATATCATTTGAATGCTAGGCACTACCAGGGTCCTCTGTAAGAGCAGCAAGTGCTCTTAATTGCTAAGCCATCTATTCAGCCTCTAAACTGGTTCTTTAATTGATCTATCCTTGTGTAACAATAATAGGAATAACTGTGGCTTTTTGTTTATTTGACAGGCTAAAGTGGATTAGATCCTCCAAATTTACTATTTCAAGGATGTCTTAACTATTTGAGATTTATGCATTACTTCTCTATTTCACAGTGCATTGATTTCCACCCAAAAATATATGAAAAAAAAGCTGATGAGGTTTTACTTGGGATTATGTGGAAACTAAAGGGGATGAATATTCTATCATCTTCCAATCTATAAAAATTTATACATTTATCTCTTAATTCTCTATTCAGAATTAATTTTTCCAATGTTGGGAATTGAACCCAGGACCTTCAGCATTCTACACACACACAGGGTCTGCGACTGAGTCCCCTACATCTTCCATCTTTTTTCTCCCTAAGCAATGCCTTTATTTGATCAGTATGTAGGAATCAGCTATCTAAACCCAGTGAGATGACTCAGTGGGTAAAGGCACCTGCTCTCAAGCCTAATGACCTAAGTTTGATCCCTAGGACCCATATGGTGAAAGAACCAAATCCCTCGAGTTGTCCTCTGACCTCTACACACATGCTATGACACATACATGCCCACATGCATACAAAATCAAGCATAAGAGGAATCAGATCTAAGGAGAAATTGATGACAACTTATTTTTTAAAAACGATTATTTTTATTTTTTTAAATATTTTATTTATTTATTTATTTATTTATTTATTTATTTATTTATTTATTTAATTAATTTATTTAGTCTTTTTGAGACAGGGTCTCCCTGTAGCTCCAGCTGTCCTGGAACTATGTGGACCAGGCAGGCCTCAAACTCATAGAGATCCACCTGCCTCTGCCTCCCAAGTGCTGGGATTAAAGATGAAATTTTTTTTTTTAATTTTATTGTTTGGATGTAGATAGGTACACCCATGACAATACAATGCCTGCAGAGGCCCAAGAGAACATTGGATTCCCCTGGAAATAGAGTCACAGAAGGTTGTCAATCACCATTTGGATGCTAAGAACTGAACCCATGTCTTCTGCAAGAGATGTCAGTGGTCTTAACCACTGAGCCATCTCTCCAGCCCCAACTTTTTTTTTTCTTTTTGAGCCAAGTGTATCTATATATTCTTGGCCTCTAAGAGTAAACTGAAGTTTTTAGAGACATATCAAAGCCACTGTTACATCCAAGTCTGTCTGTCTCTCTCCTACACATTGTAGCTTATGCCAATCTGGACCTCACTATGTATCCCAGGTTGGTCTCAAAAACCTGACAATCCTCTTGCCTCAACTTCCTGAGTGCTTGGATTATAAGTGTAAGCTGCCATATGTGGCTTAGATCCAAGTCTGAATGATTAAATGACTCAGTTGTCAAAAAACCATAAAATCAACTTTTTAAAAATGAGACAGTGTCTCATGTATCCCAGGCTGGCTTCAAACTTGCTATGTGGAACAGGATTAACTTTTGCCTCTACCACACCACTGCTATGACTATATAGCTGTTGCTACACCAGGTTAATGCCATGCTGAGGATCAATGTACAGCTTTGTGCATGCTAGAAAAGCACTTTACCAACTGAACATCATCTTCACTATGAAGAGCTACAATAACAAGAATGGTTTGGTGGGTATTCTAAAAAATAGGCTCATGCAACAGAATCACAGAGTTTCCAAGTATTCCCACCTAGAAGGAAGCATCTCCTTAGGTAATGGCTAATATGCTACTCTATTTTACAAGAAAAGCTCCAAAAGGAAAAAAGCTCACGTATGCATAAGAACTTAATAAATGGTAGGCTGGTTCAGTGGTTAAGAGCACTGACTGCTCTTGCAGAAGACCCAGGTTTGAATCCCAGCACCCACATGGTGGTTAACAACTGTCCATAACTCTAGTTCCAGGGGATCCAATACCATCTTCAGTTCTCCATGGGCACTGCACGACACAGGTGTACTAACATACATGCAGGCATAACATTCATACACATAAAAATAAAAGTTTAAAAAAGAACTTCATAGATGATAAAGCTGGCATCAGAAATCAGAAGCAAAAGGGAAAATTATAAATTCATGGTCATGAGGACTTGAGTTGGCCATCTAAAAACCTTAGATCCATAATTTCTCAAATTTCACACACTGAGTCTCATTTCACAGGTAAAACAAACTAGAACAACTGGAAGGTTAACTCTCTCTCTATACATATATTTAATATTTCTTATATTCATACCAACATAAAAATAGGTATATATTCTTTATACTTATAGTTCTCATGTAATGTAGGCTAAAACATTTATAAATTAAAAACAAAAAATATAAAACCAATAAAATACAAATTACCTATATTTACTATAATAAATGAACAGTCCTGTTAATAGAATGTTTTCTTCAAAAGAAATAAAGCACAAGTATTTGGTTTAAAAGCAAAAATCTGTAGTTTAAGATCCCATTCTATTCTTAAACTGTTTGAAAATTTTTATTTAATGACATTGAGAATACTTGACATATATATCTTATCAAACTAAAGTTTTTCCTTCCTCTCAAGCCCATTAAATAGCAGTCCAATAAAACCAACTTTAAAACTGATAGACAGAAAATTAAAACTGTCTTTTACTAAAATCTGCAATAATGACCATTTACTCCAACTGCTTTTAAATTTGGACAAGGAACATTCTTTACTATTTATTTGCTCTAGCACTGCTAATGAACTCTTATAAGTTCATCTATTTAACAGCATCATATGATACTGGCTTATGGTATAAATTTTTCTGGGTAATATAAGACAATGCTGTGTCAAAAAGCAGACTCAGGATATTATGTGTATAACAGCAGCACTCCATTCTCCCCATCTTCATATAATCTGTGTTCTATGGTTTTATCAGTTTTATTTTTCAAGCTAGACTTTAATTTTGAATACTTAACACTATTATTAATGTGCATTTCACTTTCTTCATGTTTGCTTAGAATATGTGACAAATGTTGCCAATCTTTGCACCCATTCTCATTTTTCAGTTGATTTTTCCCTTCCCCAAAGAGTTTGCAATAGAGGCAAAATACAGAATCTTTGGCAGCTGAATAAAGTAACCAGGACCTAGTAGCTTTTTCACCGCTTGGAAGAATTCGTGTATAGTAAGTTTCTGAAAACTTCCTCCCTGTATTGTCTTTTGGGAAATTAAAGTTTCTTACTTGAGGTGGATCATTTTCAATAAGAATATCACGCTGTTTAATATTCAAAATGCGGGGCCATGTACCTGGATCTGAAGAAAGCACAATAGACATACTAAAGTCTTTCGAATTTTTGTCTTCCAGTTGCCCTTGAAATTTATCAGCTATTGCTGGCATAGAAGGTAAATTCACAGTCTGTTTGTTCAATAATGTATCTGGGCTACATTTTGCTGAAACTTTTATCTCAGAAATCTTTTCCTTTTTTTCTGGTATTTCTGTTTTTTCTGAAAGTGTACTTGATGATTCATATAACTTTTTTTCATTTTCTTCTCTGACAGCATTCCTTTTTCTGTTATCTGAAGCTGATGTTTTTGATTTTGTTTCCATTATCTTGAGAGAAAGAGATTACAATTTTATTAGAATTAACATTTTAAAAACTTACATGCAGAAATAAGGAGAGAAAATAGCTCATCATTAGTCATAAATCAAAGCAAGGCACACATCTACCAGGATGGTGGTAAGAAACAGAGACAAGTATTGATAAACATATGGAAAAACTAGAACTTCCCTAAGCACTAATGGAAATTTATCATTGTGAATCTGCTTAAGAAAGCAGCCTGGCAATTCAACTGAAATTTGAACAGTTACTGCATGATCCATATAGACACCAAGATACGTATATCTAAGGCAAATTAAAATATATGTTCACACAAAAACATATATAAATAACCATAGGAATAGCATTCATAATAGAATAAACCTCAAATGTTCACCACAAATGAAGATAAAAGTGTGTCTATTTATGTGGAATCTCCAGAACAGGCAAATTTATAGAGAAAATGAAGATTAATAGTACTCTAGGACCAGGGGGAAAAAGAGTGAGATGGGTTGAGACTTATCTGGTAATAGATGATATGAGGTTTCTTGTAGTGACGGAGAAAAGTTCTAAAATTGTCTACGGTGAATTATGGAGTATGTTAATTACACATCAATAAAGTTGTTTGAAAATCTTCATGTGAAAGTCAGTTAATATTAACAGCAATTATCTTTTTAAATTTTATCTGTTTAATTTTTCATGTATGAGGGTCTTGCCTGCATGTATGTAAGGGCACTTGCCTTCAGTGGCTAGAAGGGAGTGTCAGAGCCCCTGGAATTTGTTACAGGCAGTTGTTAGTCATCATGGGGTGCTGGAAGCCAAACCTGGGTCCACTGCAAAAGCGTTAAGTACTCTTAACCTCTGAGCCTTCTCTCTAGCCTGGTAGTATTTTTTTCTTTCTTTCTCGGTTTTGAGACAGAAACCCTGTAGCCCCAGTCAACTATGGTACATCTCTATTCCCTTATTTACAAATCTTAGATTACCTTTACTGACTTTTCCTCCTAGCTTTAAGTATCATCAACTGACTTCTCAAGGAGGAAGTCATGAGTAAATTTCCAACCTCACCAGGCTCACCACGCACATCCCCCAGCAGTCTACCTATCTTCTGCTCAAAGGATGTCTTAGATAACATAATTCGTTGTGAGGGACTGTCATGTGCATAGAGGATGTTGAATAGCACACCTGGCATCTCTCCAGTAGATGCCAACAGCACCCCCTAAAATGTGACCGTAAAAATGTCCAACCCCTAGAGAACTATTGGCTTAAAGATTTTTTTTTTTTTTTTTTTTTTTTTGAAAAGGGTTTCCCCCTTCCCCCCCGGCCAAAAAAAAAAAAAACCGGCTGGAGGGAAGACGCGTGCCTCCTAACCTCCTTCCGCGATTCGCTGCTCAACCAGGGCCACGGTTAGTTTTTGCTGACCACCAAGTGGCTGTGCCCCGAACCCGGCTTTCAGATTCTGGCGCTAGCAGGAGGGGAGCCTTCCGCACCCCAGTAGTTTCCTGCGCTGGCCATGTGCTTCTAGCTGGACGCACAACGTGGAGTTAAGGGTCGCGCCCTGGCCTAAAAACGGCTTCCCCTTCCCTGTAGTCCTCACTGCCCGTTTCTCCAACCACCCCTTGCCCAGAGCTGGGACTGGCTAAGTCTATTTGATTTTAATCCCAGCACTCAAGAGGCAGAGGCAGGCAGATCTCTGAGTTCAAGGCTAGCCTGGTCTACATAATGAGTTCCACCTGCCTCTGCCTCCTGAGTGCTAGGATTAAAGGTGTGTTTTTTTTTTTTTTTTTTTTTTTTGAGACAGGGTCTCCCTCTAGCCCCAGCAGGCCTGGAACTCACTATGTACACCAGGCTGGCTGGGAAATCACAAAATCAGCCTGCCTCTGCTTCTCAAGTGCTGGGATTAAAGGTGTGCACCACCACGCCCAGCTTGATCAAGGATATCTTCATATTTGGGGCTGGCAAGGCAGCTCAGCCAGTAAAGGTGCTTGCTGTCCAAGCATGATAACCTGAGTTAGATACTCAGAAACCCAATAAAAGTAGAAGAAAAGAACAACTCTATAGTTAACCTTTGACCTCTACACATATGCATGGTGTGCACCTGTACTCACACAGGTATCATACAAATGATATAATTATGTGTTTTATATATAACTTTGGTCTTTTTGAGACAGGGTCTCCCTGTAGCTCCAGCTGCCTGTAACTCACTCTGTAGACCACATTGGCCTCGAACCCACAGAGGATCCGCCTGCCTCTGCCTCCCGAGTGCTGGGATTAAAGGCATGCGCTACCACACCTGGCTTTTTTTTTTTTTACTTATAAAGTTGTTTTTTCATCTTTTTGAGACAGGATCTCCCTGTAGCCCCAGCTGGCCTGGAGCTATGTAGACCAGGCTGGCCTTGAACGCAGAGATCCGCCTGCCTCTGCCTCCCAAGTGCTGGGACTACAGATATGCACCATCATGATCGACTTATAAAGTTTTTAAAATAATGTCTTGTTTTATGATTCTATACATAATGATAAGCAGCTAATGACAAGACTCTAGTCCTTTTCATTTTGGGGGCCTCAAGGATTTAACCTAGGGCCCTGGGTATGCTAGGTAAGTAATCTCCACTTAGCTATATATCCCTAGCCCTAAGTTTTTTTTCTTCTTAAAATCCACAGTATCATTAAGGCTTTATTGCTCTTCTAAGACGACTTGCTACTAATAAGTTTAAAATACTCATACCAGATCAACATCTGGAAATTCAGCTGCTGCCTATTTGACTACACATATTTTCATATTTTTACTTCTTTTTCTTCAATTTAGAATTGTTGTGCAAACCTTATATTCCTTATTATTCTTTTATGTGTTTATGGTGTGTGTATGTGAGCATGTGTTTATGTGGATATGGGTACTCAATAATATGTAGAGTTCACAGGAGGATTTTAGGTTACACAGACAGCCATGGTTAAATTCAATGGGTTACAAAATAGAACAAAAGAAGTAATGAATTTGAGAAAGCAATTAATAGGAGAGGGGTGGGAGGAAGACAAGAGTATGGGGAATGATAGTAATGAGACTACATTACATACATAATGTACATGCATGAAATTATCAAAAGAAATTAATAAAAACAATTTTTAGGGGCTGGAGAGATGATGGCTCAGTAGTTAAGAGGCACTGATTGCTTTTGCAGAGAACCGAGATTCAGTTCCAGGCACCCACATAGTACCTAGAAATGATCCATAACTCCAGTCCCAGGAGATCTGATACCTTCTGGCCTCTGCAGAAATTATACCCACATGGTACACTTAATATACATGCAGGCAAAATACTCATACAGATTAAAACAAAATTTTAAAATATTAATAATTTTAAAGGTCAGGAATTGTGGCATGTCTTTAATTACATTACTCAGGAGGCAGGGGCAGGTGGACCTGTGTGAGATCAAGGCCAGCCTGGTCTATATACTGAGTTCCAGCCAGCTGGAGCTACAGGAGACCCTGTCTCAAATATATATACTAATAAACTTAATAATAATTTTAAGGTGCTGCACATGGTAGTATTCCCCTGTAATCCCAGTGCTCCTACTGTGAAATAGAAGATAGTTCTTTGGAACCTTTCAGGACAGCCAGTCTGGTGCATACAGCAAATAATGAACAGACCTTGTCTCAAACAAGGTAGAAAGTGAGGGACACCAGAAGTTGTCCTCTGACCTCTATACATGGGCACTTGCACTCACACAAACACAGGTGGTGGTGGTGGTGGTGGTGTGTGTGTGTGTGTGTCCACACATACACAATTTTTTTTTTAAAAAAGGAGGGATGGCTTAGAAACCTGAGGCTAGACAGGTCACAGGATATAAAGGAAATCCTAATACTAGTTTTCTACTAGGTAGTTATCATATTAAAATGACTTTTTTTTTTTTTTTGGTCTTTTTGAGACAGGGTCTCCCTGTAGCCCCAGCTGTCCTGGAACTCACTATGTAGACCAGGCTGGCCTCGAACTCACAGAGATCCACCTGCCTCTGCCTCCCAAGCGCTGGGTAAAATGACTCTTAATGACTTGTTATACCCTAGATTAATGCATCTCTCAACTCTCATGAGAGAAGCTTCCTTATTCAACAGATGATGATTAACAGAAACCTACAAAAGGCCAATGTGTACAGAACAAGAGGCTGTAGAATGCTTATCCATGAAGAGAACACCTGAATCAAACTTCTGTCCCAAGGCTCAGAGATCATTGTGGAAAAGAGGGTAGAAACATTGTAAGAGACAGCAGTGGCGGACAACCACAAAGAAAAAGTTTTCCAGACAGCTGGTCAGTTATTCATATGAACTCATAGTAAAGGTGGCAACATGCACAAGTTCCATGCAAGGTCAAAGCAGCAAAAATCCCAGCATAGACATGAGGAAGTGGTAAGATGCTCCAAACCCACCTAAAGAAATTATGGCAAGAGATGGCTGATGGAAGGGGCAGAGACAGTATCTTTCAAGAATAGGACTCTTGGTAGGTTAATCAGGCTCCAGTGGATAGACCCACACTGAAGGACATTTGGAGATACAAATTGAGACTCTATAGGCCTTACTATATATATAATAGAGTACATTAAATTGGGTAGGGGGGACAATAAGGGGAGGTGGAGATAGAGTAGGGGAATCTGAATACCATCAAATTATATCGCAAAATTCAATAAAGCAACGTAAAAATTTTTTTAATTAAAAAAAAGGAGGCTTGCTGCTCTTTCAGAGGATGTGGGTTTGGTTTTCGGCATTAACATGGCATTTCAAAACCATCTGTAAGTCTAGTTCCTGAGGATCCAACACCCTTGTTTGGTTTCATGGGCACCAGACACTGATGCTGTGCACATACATACATGCAAGCAAAACATCCATACACATAAAATAAACTTTATAAAAAATTACCTTGGCCAGGTGTGGTGGGCGCACTGGGAAGCAGAGGCAGGTGGATCTCTGTGAGTTCAAGGCCAGCCTCTAGATCTACATATTGAGTTTCAGGCCAGCTGGGGCTACAGGGAGACCCTGTCTCAAAAAGACCCCCCAAAACAATTACCTCATTATATTCATCGATACAATTTTGGCAGCAAAATCTCTTCTGCTGACCTCTAATGAGGACATTGTTTCCAGTATTCTTATTGGGCATGTATTCTCCACACTGTTCACAGCAGTTCATTATTAAACCATTGGTCGACCTATACTCATTAAAGCAGTGGTTACTACAAAGTTTATGTGTTATGTTATTAACACTGATTTCATGACGAACCTGAAAGAAAAAACAAAATTAACTAAGATACATAAAGTATGCATTCTCGGTCTTCTGGCTATAATTTCATCTTATCAGTTTAATAAAATATATTTACCAGATTAGTATAGTCGGCAATGAAATAACTAGTTTCTGTTACAGAAACAAAATATTCTAATAATATCTCAGTGGAAGAAATATTCAAGGAAAGATTTAAAAAAATACATTGTTGGTGGAGCATGGTGGCACAAGCCTTTAATCTCAGCACTAGGAGGCAGAGCAGGCAGTTCTCTGTGAGTAGTAGGCTGTTCTAGACGGAACAGGGCTACATAGCGAGACCCTGTCTCAAACAAAAGAAACACTGTTATTCTTTAACTTTTTCTTTGTAAATCAAAAGTAATAGATTTAAAAAGTAATAAAATCAGCATTAAGTTTCCTTGAAAATATAAAAGGTGAGCTAATTTGCTTTTTGAAACAGGGTCTCCCTATGTAGATCTTTGATCCTCCCAAATGCTGAGATTATTGATGTGTAACCACCACACCCAGCTAAAGAAACTGATTTTTAACGTGGCATGTTAAAAAGAAATTAAGACAGTATTATACAATTCACTGCCCTATAACAATTGGGAGAGGGACAAAGGGAATCATTATCCATACTTAGAATGGTGTCAGTGTATCCAGCAGTAGGGTGGTCCTGAAGTTGTAACTGAGATAAACTTAGGTCCTTGATTTGAATGGCCCCCAAAGTTATTCAACACCAAATTTAGTTGCCAAGGACAATGTAAAACAGAGAAGGACTGCCTGAATAATGTCTGTCTCTTCCTCTTGAGCATGCATTCACTCCACTTGTTCCACATATTCTTGTAGGATCTGTTGCCTCCTTCATGTCCTGAAACTACATCTTTATTTTGTGTTAATATAAACAAAATACATCATAAAACTATTACCTTATGATTATAATTAATTCCATAGATATGAATGCATCCTTTCCACACTATGAAAATGGGATATTTTTAAATAAGAGAATTCTACCTTATCCTTAGTAGTCCTTTTAACATGTATATTTAAGATATGTACATTATGCAGATGGCAGAACTTTTAATATTTAAAAGTTAACATTATTTTTGCAAACCTAAATAGTAACTTAGGTATAAAAAGTCAGACCTCTCCTAATTTACTACACATTGTACATCTTGACTTATTAAAAATTCCTTTTCTAAAATTCTGGTAGTCTTCATAGGGAGAAAAAGATGTACTACAGAATTCTTGTAAGGATTTGTTTGATTCCACTGAAGAAACAACAGTAGCCTTCTTTGTAGGTGCATCTCTGAAACAAAAGGGAGAAACATACCATACTTTAAAATCCACTTTTAGCTTCATTGCCACTATTTCCTGAATAATATGGAAGGATAAAATTCAAAAATAAAAATTCTTTTGTAGCACTAGAAACTTGTTAAAAAGTTCCTTAGCTTTCTAGAAGCATTAAAAAATGCTGGTAGTGGGCTAGAGAGATGGCTCACTGGATAAAGGCACCTGCTATAAAGCCTGATAAAGTCAGTTTGATTCTGGGAACCCACATGGCTGAAAGAGTATCAATTCTTCTGACTACCACCTGTATACCTACCTACCTACCCATCTACTTACACACACACACACACTCTAAATAAGTAAATAAATAAATGTTTAAAAAAAAGCTGGTAGTGGGGCTGGAGAGATGGCTCAATGGTTAAGAGTACTGACTGTTCTTGCAGAGGACCCAGGTTTGATTCCCAGCACCCACATGGCAACTAACAATTGTCTGTAACTCCAGTTCCAGGGAATCCAACACCCTCTTCTGACCTCCGTGGGCAATGTATGACATGGGTGCACTTTTTTTTTTTTTTTTAGAAAACTCTACTTAACAATCTAGCTGACAATTACATTCAGAGTACTTATTTATATTCATAGGAGTCAGCCACATGGAGAAATGTTGAAAGATATGCTTACTTTCTCCATGCTACATTTCGTGTCTTTCGAGTACATTTATGAGAGAAAGAAGAAAGGCAGGTTGTAGAACAAAAGAGATGAATTGATCCTTTTTGTTGATAAGCAGTCTGCCCCTTCTGTAAAGGATTTTTGCAGTTTGAACAGGTGATTTTAGTTGGTTTAGTAAGATGCTGGGTTGAGGTCTGGAAATTCTGTTTAGGAAGCAAGGCCACTGGTGATAAAGAATCCACTCCTGGTTGCTTCTGATTATGGGGAAATGATGCTGACTGGGAAATCCAAGAATCTTAAAAGACACAAGAAAAAGTCCAGGAATGAATAAAAATTCACATTAGCAAAACATTTGTAATTTTATGAATTTAAAAGATTAGTAAACACAAAACCAGGCATGGTGGCACATGCCTTTACTCCCCAAACTCAGGAGACAAAGGCAGGATTTCTGAGTTTGAGGCCAGTCTGGTTTATATAGTGAGTTCTAGACCACCTGGAGCTACATTTCAAAAAACAAACACACACACAATAAAAGAAAAAAAAGACAGTAAATAGCCATATAAGCCTGTGGTTAAGGCTGGATAATTGGACAGCCAAGGAGAATTACTGTTAGGTTTAGGTTATTCAATGTTTCCCACAGGCTCATGTGTTTCAAAAGTTGGTCTCCAGAGGCTGGAGAGATGGCTCAGTGGTTAAGAACACTGGTTCTTCTTTTTTTTTGTCTTTTTGAGACGGTCTTTCTGTAGCCCCAGCTGTCCTGGAACTCACTATGTAGACCAGGCTGGCCTTGAACTCACAGAGATCCACCTGCCTCTGCCTCCCGAGGGCTGGGATTAAAGGCATGAGCCACCACACCCAGCCTAATGAACACTGACTCTTCTTATGGAAGACCAGGGTTCAAATCCCAGCATCCATATGGCAGCTAACTGTCCGTAACTAGCTCCTGGGGATCCAAGAGCCTCTTCTGTCCTCCTCAGGCATTGTACAACAAAGGTAGACTTACCTACATGCAGGCAATACGCATATACATAAAATAAAAATAATAAATAAGCTGGGTGTGGTGGCGTACACCTTTAGTCCCAGCACTTGGGAGGCAGAGGCAGGCGGATCTCTGTGAGTTCAAGGCCAGCCTGGTCTACATAGTGAGTTCAGGTCAGCTGGGACTACAGGGAGACCCTGTCTCAAAAAGACAAAAAAATAAAATAAATAAATAAAATATATTTTTTAAAAAGTTGGTCTCCAGCTAGTAGATATGGGGCTAGCTGGTGGACACTGGGATTAAGGGCAGGGTTAAAGGCTGTAGCCTAGCCTGGTTCAGGGTCTCTGTTCTCTGCTTTCCACCACATAAGAAGCAATTACCACCCTGCATGGTAGTGCAATCTATAATTGCAGCAAGCTGGAAACAAAAATAGGAGGATTACTCCAAGTTCAAGGCAAGCCTGTGCTGCCATAGCAAGACCCTGTCTCCAAAAGCAAAACAAAACTAAGTGTTATAGGCAGCTGCCACAGGCTCCTACAGCCTTGGCATTGTCCTATTAAATCTTTCTCTCCTACAATGGACTATATTCCCTCAACCTATGTGTCAAAATAAACCCTTACTCCCTTAAGTTGCTTCCTTCAGATATTTTATAACAGGTACAAGAGAAGTAATCTATACAACTACCTACTTTGCATTCTAAGGAATATTTCTCTGTGTCAACAATAAAATAAATGGTAGTTCCTGGTATTGTACAATGTGGTAAAACATCATTTACTGTCAGACTCCCCAGGGACAAAATCTGTCTCCTGAACATACTAGATTAAGCTCTATGGATTTGTTGTTCTTGCTTTTCTGTGTTGGGGATGTACATACTAGGTAAGTGCTCTACCAGTGAGCTAAATTCTCAGCTTGTTGTCTTGGTTTTCCTAATTCCTCAGTGACATAAGGAATAAATAAGATACATAGTCATAGACTAAGCAGAAGTTGCCCTCTAAGGACACTCTGATTATTTAAATTTCAATGAAAAACGAGATTTAAGAAGCAGCAGAAATAAAACATTAATCCATTATAAGAACAGTCATTGTGGGGGGCAAGAGAGATGACTCAGAGGTTAAGAGCACTAACTGCTCTTGCAGAGCATCTGGATTCAGTTCCCAGCACCCATATGACGGCTAACAACTGTCTATAACTCCAATTCCAAGGGATTCAATGCCCTTTTCTGGCCTCTACAGGCATTGCACATACACAGTACACTTACATACATGCAGGCAAAACACCCAAACACATAAAATACAAATAAATAATTTAAAAAAAATAGTCATTATGGGAGGGAAAAAAAACCCCTCAAACTTCAAAATAGTTTTATTTTGTATATTTATCCATACTTAAAGGGAACATATTTATATAAACCTAGGAAAATAAGACATCACTATTCTATTGCTTAAGAGAGCAAAAAAAAAAAATCACTTTTGTTTTGGTATACAAATAAGGCAAATAGTGTTCTTTTTTGACACTGCAACCATTTAAATTCCTAATTAAAAGGTTTTAGCTGGGTATTGTAGTACATGCCTGTAATGCCAGTGCTAGAAGCAGAATGACAGACTTCCAGACCAGACTGGGCTATATACACCATCTCTAAACAAATTAATTAACCAATTCGGGATGGGTGGTATTGGTGCTTCTATTTAACTTGAAGTCTTAGTAAAAATTTCCATGTCCCATCTTTAGGATACATTTTAAAACCAGAAGATACTTAAATACTTCAGTATAATATATACAAGGGAAATTAAGACCTAGAGGTTAGACAATTCAGACAAAAGTTTTTAGAAAGTACTAGAACCATTGTATAATTTGTGTTAATTTCCTCCTGCAACTTACTCCTCTGCCTAAAATCTTTATCTTTAGTGTTGGTCTGCTGGTAAGTTTAATCAGTGCTCAATATTTTTTGTGTACATAAAAAGATAACACATTTATTAGACTGTGTATCATAAATATGTACAATTTTTATAAAACAAAAAGAATGGCTGCAAAAACATGATACACTAAAATTATACCTATTATGATTTACGTATATGAATTATATACCTATTATATATATACCTACATACCTATATGAAAATCATAAATTTATTCTGTTGCTAATGTTTATGACAGAACCTATTGGTTGCCAACTTATGTAACATTGGTGTCTTTCTTTCAGTGGAAGAAAGCTTTTATTGGGGGTGCAGAGGAGACAGGGTCTTTGTAGTCCTGGGTAGCCTGAAACTTACTATGTAGACCAGACTGGCTGAGAACTTCTGGCTCTGCCTCTGGAATGCTAGGATTACAGGCATATGCCACCGTACCTGGCTATAGAGACAGGTCTCATGAAACCCAGAAAGGCCTCAAACTGATTATGTGCTCAAGGATGGCCTTTAGCTTCTGGTGACTCCTGTCACCATTTTCCAACTTCTAGGATTACAGATCTGGGGTATCATACCCAGGTAGAATGCCTGCATAGCATGTGCAAGGGAGTCTTGGTTCAATCTTCAACACTGCAGAAAAAAAAGAAAAGGAAAAAACCCAAACCTGAAACAAAATAGAAACCATAAAAGAGAATGTTTTTACAGATTTCATTGTTTGGGACTTGAGAGATGGCTTAGCAGTTAAGCACACTGGCTGCTTTTGCAGAAGACCTGGGTTCAATTCCCAGCATCCACATGATGGCTCACAACCAGTTCCAGGAGATCCAACATACTCTTCTGGTCTCCATGGGCATTGTATGCATGTGGCCCACTTATATAATGCATACAAAACATTCATATACATAAAATAAATAATATTTTTAATGTTACATTGTTTTGGGTTTTTTTTTTTTTTTTGGTCTTTTTGAGCTATAGGGTCTCCCTATAGCTCCAGCTGGCCTGGAACTCACTGTGTAGATCAGGCTGGCCTGGAGCTCACAGAGATCCACCTGCTTCAGGCTCCAAAGTCCTGGAATTCAATGTGTGCACCATATTGCTGGACATTAGCAGTATGCACTCTTATGTTTACTCAGCTCTATATTTTGTGAGTAGTTTATCTACAGTGCATCTACATTGCATTTCTTTTCACTGCTATTATTTCACTGTATAGCTAACAAATACTAATAGACACCTGGAATGCTTCTAATTTTTTACTATGATTACACATGTCATTTGTCCTCCCCTTCCCCCTTTTTTTGGTGGTACTGGAAATTAAACCTAGGTTTCTCACATGCTAGACAAGTGCTTTACCACTGAATTATATCCTCAGCCCTATTTTGACTTTTTGAGAGAGAGAGATATCTTGGTAAGCTGCCTAGGCTGGCCTTGAACTTGTAATCATCCTGACTCAGCCCCCTGAGTAGCTGAGAATACAGATTTATATAAGGCCCAACTGCACCTGTCTTTTAAAAGTTTCATAGATAATCTGATTACAATTTGTAAAGGTACCTCTTCTGCTCCATCTGTCTTCTAGAACACGAATTACAAGTCCTTTTCATCAACTATCACAGCTGTTTTCTAAATTTTTGTTTATGAATCAGTCTGAATAACTTCTCTGATATGTATTAGAGCTCACTCATACCTTAAGTCAGGTTCAATCTACAGATTTTTCTTAAAATTAGTTCCTGGTACCCTATTGTCTTGAAAAAACCTTGAACTCTGGGTGTTCCTATTATCAGCTTTATTCTCTTGATTTTGGTTGTAAAATGTGCTGCCTCCTATCTCTCATTATGTTTTATTATATACTTATTTGTGGTTTTGGGAACCAAACCTGGAGACTCTTGCATAATGGTTATTTTTTATATGAAAAACTGCAACAACAACAACAACAAAAAGACTAAAGTTCAATGAGGTTAGCATTTCAATTTAAAGGTTGGAAGGGAGTTTCAACCAGTAGCTCCTCTTTTGGGCCCCTATAGTGCCTATTCAAAACTCTAGACTTTTCCAGAAATGAACACTCAATTGTAAGATAAAAGCAGATGTCCAAGTAGTAGTAGAACTTTTCTCTGATGTTTCTTCTCGTAGATCTTAGAACTTTTTTTTTTTTATTTCATTTGTGGCTCTCTGATGCCTTTCAATTGGTATTTTATATATGTACACATCTTTTTTTTTCTTCTTCAAATTTCTATGTGGTGTACGTGTGTGTATGCCATGTTCAAATGTGTGAGTGTATACATATGTGTAGGCATACATGCAAGTCTAAGGCCCAATGTTGACATTGGGTGTTATCTACCTTATATACTGAGGCAAGGTCTCTCTCTGAATCTGAAGCTCACTTTATCTGGCTAGCCAGCTTGCTCCAGGGATTCTCTTGACTCCACCTCCCAAATCCAGGAATTTCAGGCAGGCTGCCACACCTAACCAGCTTTTCTGTAGGTTTTAGGTATTGGAAATTTGACCCCATGCTTAGGCAACAAGCATTTTACCTGCAGAGTCATTTCCCCAGCTAGGTATTTTAAATACCTTTTTTTATTTATTATTTTTATGTATATGCATGTATTGTCTGCATGTAGACGTGAGTGCACTCGTGTCGTGCAATGCCTGCGGAGGACAGAAAAGGCTGTTGGAGCCCATGGAACTGGAGTTACACACAGTTGTTAGCTGCCATGTGGGTGCTGGGATTCGAACCCAGGTCTTCTGCAAGAACAGTCAGTGTTCTTAACCATTGAGCCATCTCTCCAGCCCCTATTTTAAATATTTCCTATTCTTGGTAGAGAGATAGGAATCTCTCTAGTTCTTGGAAATAAAACTTCTTAGAATCAGCTGGGTGTGGCAGTGCATGTCTTTAGCCCCAGCACTGTGAGGCAGAAGCAGGAGGATCTCTGTGAGCTTGAGGCCAGCCTGATCTACATGTTGAGTACCAGGCTGGCTTGGGGCTACAGGGTGACCCTATTGCAAAAAGACCAAAAACAAAAATGAAAACACCAACTTAGAATTATTACCATGGCTAGAAATGTTTATAATACAAAACTAAATCTAAAAGGATGGCAAGAAGAATTTTTGTAAGTCTTTTCTGTCATGCTGTCATGGGGACTTTTGTTCTCGTTTTTTAATATTATTTTAAATTTTGTGTATGAGTGTACTGCCTGCATGTAAGTATACCCATGTTGTATAATGCCCATGGAGGTCAGAAGTGGGCATCTGATCCCCTGGAATTGGAGTTACAAATGGTTGTTAGCCACAATGTGGGTGCTGGGAACCGAACCCAGATCCTCTAGAAGAGCAGCCAGTGCTCTTAACCACTGAGCTATCTCTCCATCCCTTGGTTTTGGTTTTTTGAGACAGATCTCCCTGTTACCCCAGCTAGTCTAGAACTTGCTATGTACACCAGGCTGGCCTCAATCTCACAGAGATCCACCTACCTCTGCCTTCAAGGGCCAAGACTAAGGGCATGTACCACCCAGCTCTGTCATGGGTTTTTTTTTTTTATGTTTATGTTAAAGCATGTGATATCAGTTTGCCCTAAGACTTAAAGAATTAAATGACTTCAACATCCACTCTAGTGAACATAATCCTACTTCAATAAAATAAAATCCAGAATTTTAGCCTACGAAGACACAATTTTACATGATGAAATATAGACCTATGAGACCTAGATTTAATTATAATTCAACTCCAGAAATCCCTGTTATTCTTACATAGATGGAGAGAAAGGGAATGAGAAAACCTTCTATGTGAACAGGAAGTAGTTAGCCAGGCTTGTGGCAGAGCTCTGTAAGTCCAATAAGAAGAGAGGCTGAGGTAGGAGGATTACAAATTCAAGGCCTATGGGGGCCACAATGCATTAGCATGTTCACATGAATAACAGACTCATGCTCATGTGCAATTACCACAGACAATTGGATAGATAAGCTCATTCATCTCAAACTTAAGTATATAGAACTTCTGCATTATCTCCCCCCATCACCCCCATAAACCTCATTAAATGTTTCTTTAGAAAATTTTTTTTTTTTTTGGTCTTTTTGAGACAGGGTCTCTCTGTAGCCCCAGCTGTCCTGGAACTCACTATGAAGACCAGGCTGGCCTTGAACTCACAGAGATCTGCCTACCTCTGCCTCCTGAGTGCTGGGATCAAAGGTGTGCGCCACCACGCCAGACAAATTTATGCCTTTTATATTGCTTTACTTTTATTTTATGGTATGAGCGTTGGTTGAATGAACTGAATTTAAGTGTATCAGATGCCTGCAGGGTCCACGGAGGCAAGAAGAGGGAGTTAGATCCCCTGGAACTGGAGTTACAAACAGTTGTAAACTACAATGTGGGTGCCGGGAACCAAACCTGGGTCCTCTCCAAGAGCCCAGTATGTACTCTTAAGCATTGAGTCCTCTCTCCAGCCCCTTCTATTGCTTTAGAAGTGACTTTACTTCCATGAAAGCTTTTAACATATCACCTTTCACCTGATAACTTGAAGAACATTCTCTTTGGAATTCAAGATAAAATTTAACTAGGGCCTGAGAGATGGTTCTGAGGGTAAAAGTGTTTGCTGCCGAGCCTGACCACCTCTGTTCCATCTCAGGACCAACAAGTGCAATGACAGAACTGCTGCATGTTGTCCCCTGATCTGACACTGTGAGCCCACAGGTGTGTACATACACATGATATAATTCTGTAGCTTGTCCTCAAAAACATACATTTAGAGAACTGAGAACACAGGAATGTTGTAAATTTAGTCCACACTTGATAGGCAATAAAAATTCATTGTAATAAATACTGTAGTTTAAGAGAAGACATTTTGCTGACATTCTTAAAAGATAAAATATCTTAATATGGGGCCAGAAACTCTGCCACTCTCAGAAGGAAATATTTGTTCCACTTTTTAAACTTTTAATATATATTTATTTATATTTTATGTGTATGAGTGTTTTGCTTGCATATATATAAGTGCACTTGTGTCATGTAATGCCCATGGAGGCCAAAAGAGGGAGCTATATCCTTCGGAATTGGAGTTATAGCTGGTTGTGAGCCACCACATGGGTGCTGGGCACTGAAACTCAGGTTCTCTGAGAGCAACCAGTTTTTTTTTTTTTTTTTGGTCTTTTTCAGACAGGGTCTCCCTATAGCCCCAGCTGGCCTGGAACTTACTACGTAGACCAGGCTGGCCTTGAACTCTAAGATCCACCTACCTCTGCCTCCTAAGTGCTGGGATTAAAGGTGTGTACCACCACACCCAGCTGCAACCAGTGCTCTTAACCACTGAACCATTCTCCAGTCCTTGGTTTTCTTTTTTATTCTCTCCTCCAGATAGGGTCTTGCTATCCTGCCCAGGCTGGCCTCAAACTCATTATGTTCTTGCCTCAGTCTCCCAGTAGCTATGATATTTGGCCAGTCCTACTGTGCCTACATTCTGTTTCATTTATGAGCGTTGAGTGAGTTATTTAGTTCTTCTCATCTTGTTACATGTTTAGTAAGTAGTAAGAATCAGGCATGGTAGCTAAAGCCTTTAATCCCACCACTTGGGAGGCAGAAGCATGCAGGTCTCTTTGAGATCAAGGCCAGACTGGTCTATATAGCAAGTTCCAAGCCAGCTGGCACTACAGGGAAACCTGTCTCAAAAAAAAAAAAAAAAGTATTATTTAATATGATGATGAAGTTTCAGAAATATAAAACAATAGGTTATTTTGTGGGTGTTCTGGGTGTGTTTGCATGTGTACTTATGTACCCAGCATGTATATGAAGATCAGAGGAAAACCATCAACATTGGTCCTAAAACATTTTCTGCTTCTTGGGACAGGGTCTTGCCATGTAGGTCAGGATATCACCACTGTAGTCTCAACTGTGTCCTGAAGATCCAAACTCAGGTTTCTAACCAAGTGTTTTATTGGCTAAGCCCTAACCCTAACCCTAACCCTAACCTTTCCAGCTCTAAGATAAAGTTTTAAATGAATGACATAAGGGGATAACAAAAATAAATCCAAGGAGGTTTAAGGATGTAGCTTAGTAGTATAGTGCTTACCTACCATGGACAAAGCCCTGGATTTGACTCTCACCACTGCAAAAGGTAAAAAATAAATCCAAGTACACTTAAAACTACTTTCAGGGGGCTGGTGAGATAGCTCAGTGGTTCAGTTCCTAGCACCTACATGGCAGTTAATAACCATCCATAACTCCAGTTCCAGGGGGATCTGATGCCCTTTTCTGACCTCCATGGGCACTGCACACATGTGGTAAACTTACATACATGTAGGTAAAACACACATAAACATCAAAAAGCTAAAAAAAAAAGAAAAAAAAAAGGCCAAGTATAGCAGTATTCATCTGTAATCTCTGCACCAAAGAAGCAGAGATGGGGATCCCTGGGGCTTGTTGACTAACCAGGCTAGCTAAATTGGTGAACCCTAGGTTCAGGGAAAAATCCTAGGTCAAAAAGTAAGGTACAGTGAGTCAGGTGTGGTGGCACATACCTTTAATGCCAGCACTTGGGAGGCAGAGGCAGAGGCAGATTTCTGTGAAATCAGCGCCAGCTTGGTCTATATAGTGAGTTCCAGGCCAGCTGAGGCCACAGGGAGACCCTGTCTCAAAAAACCAAAAAAAAAAAGGTACAGAGCAATAGAAGACACCTTCACTCTTTAGGTACCACCCCCTCCCCACCCCACCCCCCCAGAACAGCTAAGTCTATTTATTTGAGTAGTAAGCAAATAATACATTTTACTGCTTACCAGGATTGGGATGAGTTGTAAATCTTCCATTCTGAAGTACATCTGCCACATTCATCCTACCAGGATTAAAAGGTCCTACTCCAGTCTTGGTCTGTGAAGTTAAAGGATGGGGTGTATGTTTGTATATTAACACCAGAAATACTTGACTGAAGTCCTTTAGTGACATCTCCCAAGTTGGTACTCTATAGTGATGTTACATGTGTAATCATTAAGTTCATATCTTGCCCAGCATTCAGAGATTATACCTGTTTCTAAAGTTGTAATGTCAGTAACATCAGAGTCAATTCTGTAGTGATACCACTATAACCCATCGCTGAATTTACCTTACTTCTTGACAGACTGGAAGTGATGAAATCCAAATCTTTGGGACTATTTTTATTTCTATAAGGTCTCCATTCAGTAAAATTGGTAGAATTTTTCTCCTTCTTTCCAACTGTTTCTATGTCCTCTTCATCATCAATAACAATTGTTTCACATATATTTCCCTTCTGAGAAGTCAATTCTCTTGAAGGCAGAATTATTGGATAATAATTTCCTGGTGACTTTTCATGTTTTGGTGACATAAATACAAAGTTTCTTTCATCAGCTACTGCTGGAGCACAAAGTGGAGGTTGTATTGATTCAATAAACACAACATCATCATCTTCCATTGGTGAGTTTCTAGATGTACTGACTACAGAACTAGCTGGATCACCAAAAGAATCCACATCTGTGAGGCAAGTTGCCATGGCCGTATTCCCCAATAAAGGATAAGTCTGTGCAGTTAACTCTAATCCTCCCACTGAATATTTATCCACGCCATACCTGTAAGAAACAAAGAAAAAAAGTGGGTTTTCCCCCCTCCATTTTGCTGCAATGTAATAGTACTGGTAAAATTTAAAAATTATATGCGTGATACTCAGTTTTTCCTGTTATCTATTTAATGTTTACTTTTTTGTGGCGTTTGATGTAAATTATGTGATTTGAAAGTTTTTTTTTAAATTTTTTTTTGGTTTCCCTGTAGCTCTGGCTGGGCTGGAATTTATATAGACCAGGGTGCCCTCGAACTCACAAAGATCCACCTCCCTCTGCCTCCTGAGTGCTGTAACTAAAGGAATACACCCCCACATTCCACTAAAAAAGTCTTTTTAAACATTCAATAAGTGCTCATGTTAAGTTACTCTCCACTCAATAAGAATAGTCTAAACTTTCTTTGAATTAAAAAATAGCAACAAAATGTGGGCTGGAGAAATGGCTAACGGTTTTATCACCTAACGCTCTTGCAGAGGACCTGAGTTTAACTCCCAACACCCACGTGAGGCAGCTTAAAAACATCTGTAACTCTACTTCCAGGGAATCGAACAGCTTCTTCTGGAACTCCATGGGCGCCTGCACTCACACATGCACATTCCTACACACACACACACAGACACACACACACACAATTAAAAGTCAAACTTTAAGGGGTCTGTAGAGATGGCCCAGTGGTTACAAGCATTGTTGCTCTTCCAGAGAACCCAGGTTCAGTTCCCAGAATCCATATGGTAGTTAACAACCATCTCTTTGTATTTTTTAAATTTTTATTATTTTTATTTTAGGGGTATGAGTGTATTGCCTGCATATAAGTGTACCTATGTTGTACAATGCCTGCAGAGGTCAGAGATGGCATTGGATTCCCCTGGTAATGGAGTTATGGATGGTTGTTAGCTGCCATGCGGGTGCTAGGAATCAAACCCAGGTCCTCTGCAAGAGCAGCCAATGCTCTTAACCACTGAGCCATCTCTCCAGCCCCTAACAACCATCTGTAACTCCAATTCCAGGGAATCTAACTCCCTCTTCTGGCCTCCATGGATACTGTACATGACACACTTATATACATGCAGGCAAAACACTCATACACATAAAATATAAATAAATAAATCTTTAAAAAGGAAACATTTTAAGCTGGGTGTGGTAGCACCCACCTTTAGTCCCAGCACTCAGGAGACAGAGACAGGCAGATCTCTGTCAGTTCAAAGCCAGCCTGGTCTACATAATGAGTTCCAGGCCAGTCAAGGCTATAAAGTAAGACCCTGTCTCAAAAAAATAAATTTAAAAAGGGCTGTAGCAATGGCTCAGCAGTTAAGAGCACTGGCTGCTGCTGCAGAGGACCCAGGTTCAGTTCCCAAACCCACATGATAGCTAATAATCATCCATAGCTCCAGTTCCAAAGGATATGATGCCCTCTTCTGACCTCTGCGGGCATTGCACAACATAGGTGTACTTAAATTCATGCAGGTAATATACTCATACACATAAAAATATATTTTTAAAAAGTAAAAGAAACAAACTTCTATTAAGTACCAGTAACTCAAGGTCTGAATATAATAGCTATATTCTATATGCTTTTATTTACTATAGTGTCCATAATCTCTATTTTACTAGTGTCTTTTCTAAGTTTTGGGGGATTTTTTTTCCAAATTCTCTACTTCGAACACCACAATGCAATTATATCTTTGAGTCTTTCTTGTCTTTTTCTCTTTTTTGTCTTTTTGAGACAGGGTCTCCCTGTAGCCTCAAGTGGCCTATACCTCACTATGTAGACCAGGTTGGCCTAGAACTCACAGATATCTGCCTTGCAAGTGCTGGGATTAAAGGCATGTGCACTATGCCTGGCCTTCTTTCTTGTCTTTTTCTAGGAAGCTTAACTCCCTTTTTTCCAGTCAAGGTTTCCTGGGTTTTGTTTGGGGTTTTTGTTTTGTTTTGCTTACTAAAAACAGGGTTAACCTACCTATACCAAACAGACCTAGAGTAGTACAATCTTCCTGCTCTTCAAAGTTGGGATTACAGGAGTGAGCTATTCTGTTTGGCTTTTTCAAAAGCTTTGTATATCAAATCCCAAAACCGCAGGACAAGTGTAATTTGCTCCTTCTAACAGAGAAGGAAACTGAGGCTTAAAGACGCAATTTCAATTGCATGTAAACTTGAGTAAGACTAAACCCAATAAGCCACAAATCATTTTTTTAAGATTACTAATTATGTCATGTTTGTGTGCATGCCTGCATGAGTTTATGTGCACTCCATACACGTGGATGTCCGTGGAGGCTAGAAGGGGGCACTGGATCCCCTGGAACTGGAGTTACAGATGGTTGTTGATAGATGCTATGTGAAGGCTAGGAACTGAACCCAGGTCCGTTCCAAGAACTGCAAGTGTTCTAACCACTGAACCATCTCTCCAGCCCCAATAAGCTATAAATTCTTAACTATTCAATGAACATTTTTCTGTACCTATATACGAGACTATATGAATGAGGCCAGAAGAGAAATAGTAGCTGAAACAGCTAATGAATAACTAAAGAAGCATAGCTCTTAAGCAAACAAAAGACTATTTAAGGTTTGGTACAGGTAATAGTGAAATTAATCATGCATAAAAATCATCTCTGCCTTAATAACAAGAAGGCAAAACTACAATTAGAATGTTTACAAGCATGCAGAAATGACATGTTTCAGGGAGCTTTACACATTGCTAGCCTCACTTTTTTCAGTGTAGCAGAATCTCAACAGAATGAATGGGGTGGGAAATGAATGTAGTTATTTCATTAGCTTGATTTGGTGGCATATGTCTATAACCCCAGCACTCAGGGGGCAACAAGTTCAAGGCCATCCTGGTCTACAATGTAAGCTTCAGGCCAGCCAGGGCTAGACAATGAGAACTTTAGTTTAAAAAAAAAAAAAAGACTAGCATTTTTATTTTAAAACTTTCCTAATTGTAATTGGTAGAATTTATAGATGTATAATAGGTACTATTTTTTATTATTCTCTTTGAGACAGCATTTCCCTACTGTCTTAGTTTGTTCTTCATTGCTGTGACAAAACATTCTGACCAGTACCAACTTGGGGAGGAAATGGTTTATTTGTCTTACATCTCCCAGGTCGCAGTTCATCAGGGAGCCCAAGGTAGGAACTCAGGGCAGGAACCTGGAAGCAGGAGCTGGAGCACAGGCCATGGAGGAACGCTGCTTACAGGCTTGCTCCCTCGGCTCCTGCTCAGCCTGCTTTCTTATGCAACACAGGCCCACCTGCCCAGGGATGGCACCACCCACAGTGGGCTGGGCCCTCCCACATCACTCATCAAGAAGATGCCCCTCAGACATGGCCACAGGCCAGTCCAATAGAGGCAATTCCCCGATTGAGGCTCCCTCAACCCAGGTGTGTCAAGTTGACACTAAAGCTATCCAGCACACCTACCTAAGATTAAAAGGAAGCTGTCCTCAAATTCATAATCCTACCTCAACCTCCTAAGACCTGGAGGATAAAGGCATGAACAATCACATCTGATAACATTTATCCTTTAAAATTTTAGTATACAAAGTAATCGGCATCTTTCATATATATATATATATATGTATATATGTACATATATACAGATATCATTATCCCCATTACCACTTCTTGTCCCCTTCTTAACCCATGAAGTCTCCTGTTTTCACATCTATATATATAGATTCTCAGTATCAAAATACAGTATCTGTCTTCCCTCTCGTCCTGTGTCTCCAGACCTTTTCACTCTTTACCTAGTCCCTTTCTACTTGCATGTCCTATGTGCCTGTGTGTATGCATTTTTCTTTTTCTCTTTTCTTTTAGACAAGGTCTCATTATGTAGCCCTGGTTGACCTCCAACTCAGAGACCCACCTGCCTCTGCCTCCCCAGGGCTGGAATTAAAGGTGTGTACTACCACCCACAGCTGTGTGTGTATGTACAGACATACTCATATTTGTACACACGTACTCTTAAATGTATATTCCATAAGAAAACATGGTATAAGTGTCTGAGTCTGGATCATTTCACTTCAAATGATCATCTCCAGTTGAAGATGAGAGATCCATTTTCTTGAAGGTTAAGTTTGATTTCTGTGTGTTAAATAAAACTTTCATTGTGTAAAACTGTGTATATGTATGTAAATGCATATGCCACATTTCATCTTTTTTTTTTTTCTTGGAGTGGGGAATTTTATTCCTGCAACAGGTAAGGAATTATTTCAAAAGCATTGCACTATTCCAACAAAATGTGAAGATTTTACTCTGGGAGCTATGGGAAAGTACTTTGAGAGGAGACTTTCCAGGCATACTCAATTTAAATTATAAATTATTGAGCACAATTAGTTTAAGGTTGTTGCTCAAGGCAGAATGACAAAAAGATCATTCATGCACATACTTAGCTCAGGAACATGGAGTACAAGTGTGAAACATTAAAACAGCACACAGGAGAGGGTTGGTGAGACAGCTCAGTGGTTAACAGCACTGGTTAACTGCTGTTCTTGCAGAAGACCTGGGTTCGAATCCCAGCACCTGCAAGGTGGCTAACAACTGCCCATAACTCCAGTTGCAGGAGCTCCAACATCCTCTTCTGTCCTCTGCAGGTACTGCACAGCACGGGTGCACTTACACACATGCAGGCATAACACTCATACACATAAAATAGCAAACAGAAAAGAGCATGCTCAACTTTGTGTCATAAAGATGATAGAACTATTTTCTGGGTGTGTTCAGCTTTTTCTCAGAAACACATTAGGAGTTTCAGCAATTTCAGGCCAGAGTCACTTGACTCAGTTGCTTCCTGTACTGGGGATGGGGGGGGTGGGATGAAAATCAGGGTGGGGAGCATGCAGTGGAGCAAAGCAGTTCACCTCATGGTAGACAAGCAGAGAGGTATATCCAACTTCATCCACTTATTTTTTTTAATTATTTTTATTTGGTGTGTATGAGTGTTTTGCATGAATGTATAAAAGTGCATCACATGCATGACATGCCGTGGAGGCCAGGATAGGGCATCAGATCCCCTGGAA